GCAGCAGGACGGTCCCGACGTCATCGCTTCTGCAGCAGGACGGTCCCGACGTCATCGCTTCTGCAGCAGGACGGTCCCGACGTCATCGCTTCTGCAGCTTCTTTTATGCAGCACCTCTGGTCAGGCAACCAATCCTCGTCCAGCTCCTCGAGGTTCTCCTCCTATCTGGACACAAATTCACACACATCTGTTTCACACACACAAAGCCATACAACATGTTTAACAGTGAACTAATATAAATTACATGTAAAAGCCATTACATGAGAAGATTAGCCCTTTAACATGTAGCAAAGCATGAATATGCAAGGCTTATTGTACAAGTAGTTTTCCAAAAGCTTTAATTTAATTAGAATAAACGCAGAAAAGAAACTCACGTTCAGTTTCAGTGGTAACAGTGTTGTTGAGCTCCGTTTTTTCCACTGCATCAAAGTCTGGAGTCAGTTTTGTTGTGGCGATTCTCAGGATGGATCTGAGGTGTTGGTCAGTTCACTTGGATCTGTGACGGGCTTGTTGATGTTCATGATGCTGATTATCTGCTCACTTACATACCATATTTTTTCGGCCTATAAGTCACAGTTTTTTGCATAATTTACATGCCCTGCCACTTATAGGCCGAAGCAACATATTTATGGATTTTTTCACATGTTTATAAATTATTTTTTGGCTGAGATACAACTGTTTTCATTCATTCTGACTGAAAAAAAAAGAACACTACCACTTTCAGCCACTTGATGGAAGCAGAGTAGTAATAGTAGTATGGCATGCTGTTGTATAATGTAATAGGTAAAAGTGGCTATAATGACAAATTAAAAAAAGTTCAAGACAAAAACAACTGGACACTATTATACTTTTTTTACTTTATACTTTTTTTCTTGAACCTTTTTGAATTTACCATGTCCTGGGTGACTGAGAAGCTTTGCCCGCTATTAATGACTCAAACGGCCTGCCATATAGTCCCCACCTTCGTTCTGCTCTCTGCTTGGAACCGTCTAAACAGCTGCACCGCCCCGGCGAAATGCAGCTGACTTGACCATTAAAGTGCATTTTTAAGGAATAGTTCAACTGAGACACACATTTGCTATAATTTTGATCAAACAAATAATTGTTTTTATTTGGCTATCTTGATAAATTTGCACAGCGACTCATCACGTGCACGCATTTACTTCCGCGATTGTGCCCGCCATTTGGCAGCGCATCGATTTTTGGCCCAACATCTCCGGGTTGTCGGCGGTGACGCGTAAGAAACGCAACGCGTCAGCGGTTCTGCGTAATAGATGCGACGTATACGGCAAAGCGACATATTTCTGGATTTTTCCACTTCATTAGACAAATATGGACCGATGCGACTTATAGGGCGGAGCGGTGGATTACGGTGGAAATGACGATAGGTCGAGGCAAATGAAGTCAGCATTTTCTGTGCCGTCCTCCAGAGGTTTCCAAAGATGGCTTTGTTAAGTGAAGCATAAAGTCTTTCAGTTTAAGAAGGTTGAACTTCTCCTTTAAGATGGAGTCGGACTGTTAGCATAGTTAGCATGCTTCATAGCAAAGTGATGATATTGTGCTCTTTGAAAACTGTTTCTTGGCACATCAGGAATGCAGCCTTTGATTGGACTTCAGTGAAAAATATTTTCTTGTCCACTCCGTATTAAACACTCGACACTCACTGTCCACTCTTCTTTGAGAAGCTCATTTTTACAGAAGGGTTCATAGGGCAAAGCCAAAAAGTGAAGTCCAGTAAAGTCCATTGTGTCTGTAATGTGCCATCTATCAGGGAAATGTAAAACCAGGTTTACTGGTAATAACATTTAATTCAGTAATATAATTTTATGGACAGCCTCTCCTTAGTGGTAGTCAAAGTACTGTATGGCAGGCAGAAGCCAAAATATTGAACATTTTATTTTTAAATATAATTTGGACCAGTTTGGCGGGCCAATAAAAAGCCCAACGGTCTGTGTTTGTCCTGACGTCACAGGAAACACTTCTCACACCTAGGGACAATTTAGCTACTAATTAGCCCAACGTGCATGTTTCAGTGTGTGGCAGGAAACCCACACGTGCGCAGTGGGAACATGTACTCTCATGCATGATGTCCACCACTTTTCATGCCACATGTCCTGTGGTAGCTGTTATGGTCCGTCCAGTAAAATAACATTGTACACAATCTCGTGCCATGTCACGTTTAAATTTGCCAAGCGGCTCATGAGATATTTTACTGACAGACACAAGCAAAAACATCATCATCAGCCTTTGCTGTTTGGTGGCGGGTGATAAATATCAGAATATTGATGTTCTTTCTATCAAGTGAACTCTAATTTTGCTCTGCATCCAGGCTGCTGTTTATCAGATGTGGGTCAGTGAGACTCGGTCTGAACCTTGAGCCCTCGTAGTTAAAGAAATGTTTCCTGTAGAAGGAGCACTCAGGGATGCACCTACATGTCTGTGTGTTTCAGTGACACTCGTGGAGAGCAGCTCAGCCCCCAGCGGGGTGGAACTGGTCAGCTCCTACCAAACCAACAGAGTGGGGGACCCCACAGACCTGGTGGCCCTGGCAGAACAAGTACAAAAGGTGTGGCTCGGTGCTGTTCACCAGCACGAATACCCCGTGATACGTGTTCCTAACTCTAAAGTCTGAACGTTTCTCAGGGAGATGATTTTGTAAAAGCCAACGCTTGCAACAAGCTGACTGTGATTGCAGATCAGATCCGATACCTGCAGGAGCAAGCGAGAAAGGTACAAGCTTCACTGAATTCACTGCACTCGTTATCAGAGGGTTCATGTGATTCAAGAAGATTCGCTCAGATCTGGATCATTTAATGCAGTTTGTTGCTTTTTAGGTGTTGGAAGAAGCAAAACGAGATGCTGACCTCCACCACGCTGCCTGCAACATGGTGAAAAAGCCAGGCAACATGTATTACCTCTACCAGAGGCCTTCTGGACAGAAATACTTTTCCATCATCTCTCCAAAGGTTGGTGTCAGACAGGCACTGTCTCAGGTCACCTGGCATGCACAGGAGACGCTCCACCATGTCTTATTCAACATGGACTTAGGCTGCAAGAACTGAAAAATGTGTTCTTTTCCTCGAGCTGCCATGTACAAGAACAAAGTTGATCAGGACTCCAGCAGAGAGTAGTCCTCAGAGGACTCATAGCCCCTGCTGGATTGTTTCTCCTGCCAGCAGACACTTTGTCTGAACACGTCTTTTGGCCTTTGCTAATTTGTTGTTAACGTAACGTCTTTTTTTTAGTGCACAACTGTTGGGCCTTCTGGTTTTTCTGTGAGTTAGTTATTTATGGGTCTTGCTATATCTTTTAAAGACATGTTAGAAAGATGTTTGTGCTTCCTCACTGTCGCAGCCTTTTGCATCACACAAACTTCTGCACCGTCAGAAATACAGGAGTATAAACATTTATGCTTTGAATCCATGCTCCTAGTTCAGATTTCTGAAAAATGTTGTGGTTCTCAAACACCACAGAGGGAAAAAGTCAATTTTAGGTTTGCTCACTGAATTCTAAGTGTTCGCAGCTAGAAAAACTATTCTGGGTCAACAAAAAGTTAGATTGTGTCATCTGGACCAGTTTCTTTAAGTGAGAAATGTTTCGTCCCCCATCCAGAGGACTTCCTCAGTCTACGGCCTGCCCACCACATCTGTCCCATAGGTAGCCTTCACTGCTGTTTCAAGCCAACCTCCTGTTGGAATCTCAGTAGCAGCTTTTAACACGTGCAAACAGAGCACACCCATCCGAAACAATCCGTCTTCATGTCCAACAATCTAATGTTTAATCCAGATGGCCAACTTACTACTCACAGAAACATAATGAGGACAACCAAGGCCAAAGTGGTTCAGAAAAAAGGTGAGCCACTGTGATCTATCCGGTAATTTCATTGATCAGATTATTTTTTACATACGTGAAATACAGGTAGTCTCATTGAGTCATGAGGACCCCCCCCCGCAAAGAGACGTGTCTAGACGAATAATATTTTATCAACACGGCGGATGCGCGCCCAGCCGCAGTGCAGAAAGAACCGGTGTCGTGCGAAATTCTGTTCCCCTTTATCGAGAGGGTGCACAGAGGCGTCCATCTTCACAGCTCTTCTGACAGATTTCTTGGTATTAAAAACTGTAAATACACTCGATGTGTTGGTGGCTGACTGATATTTGTCAGGCTAAAGTGAACATGACGAGTTGTGTTAAAAAATACATTTTTCGCTCATCGATTAAAAAAAATAAATCACACAAAAAAGCACGAAACTGTAAGTATGCTGGTGAAGATTCTCAGTCATCCAGGACATGGTGAATTCAAAAAACGTTGAATAGAAAAACAACTGGACTTTATTTGTAACAGTAATGAATTGTAATGTAATGAATCGATTATTGGAGTAATCGTTGGTTGCAGCCCTACTCTACATCCCATTTCCAATTGTAGACCGATCTAATATCTGGTGGGGGTTTATAGTTGATTGGTAGAACCTGGTTTTTATTAATGTTGATTTTATAACCTGAAGGTGCACCAAAGTCCTTCAATGCATCCATTAAGTTTGGTAGTGCTTTTGTGGGCTGGGTTAACATCACAAGTAAATGGTCTGCAAATAAGGCCAGCTTCTAATTCCCCGAAGGGGTTGTCACCCCTCTAATGTCTGCATCTTCTCGTATCCACTGACAAAAGGGTTCGGTGAATAAAGCAAAGCGTGGCGACACAACACCCCCGTCCTGTACCTCTTCTCAATTGAACTCGTTTAGTGAGGTCACCATTGATTTTAATTCTGGCTGTAGGTCCGTCATAAAGCGCTGCAATCATCTCAGTCATATTAATGAGAAAACAAAACTTTGTACAGAAAAGACCATCTTACACAGTCGAATGCCTTTTCGGCATCTAAGCCGACGGAGTGATTCCAATTTTTCTTGTGCGACTTGGCTCACCACATGCAGGATCCTCCTGATATTATCCTGCGTCTGTCTTTGTCTTATAAAACTTGACTGGTCTTTGTGAATTAGTCCTGCTAAAATGATTTCTAATCTTTTAGGTAGAATGCTGGTGAACAATGTATAGTCAATATTTAATATACTAATTGGACATTAGTTCCCACGTTCCATTCTATCCTTTCCTTCCGTAGGAGTAATAGAAATGATTGCTTCCCTCCATGATGGTGGAATTATTCTTTGTTCCAGAACCCAGTTAAGTGTTTTTAATAGAATAGGACCCATTTGATCTTTCATTAATTTATACCAGTCTGGGGGGAACCATCAGATCCAGGTTCTTTCCCTCCTTTTAACCTTCCAGTAGCTGAATATAATTTCTCTTGTTATTTTAGAGTAAATTCTTATTTTGATCTTGCGTGACCTTTGGCAAGTGTATCGATGATGACGATGCTTCAGTTTCCAGGTCGTTATCCACTTGAGCTTGCATGTACAGATTTCTATAATATTCTTCAAAACATTTTGAATGTTCCCCAGATCTGTTTCTATTGCTTTTGTTGATGGATTTCTTATTTTATGAATTGTTTTTTTCTGCTTCTAGTTTCCGTAGTCTGTATGACAAAAGTTTTATAGATTTCCCCCGGTCTCATGATATTGCTGTTCAGTGAATAGGAGCTTTTTTTGTATTTCTAATGTGTTGATAATATCCATTTCTTTTTTTTTTTTACGTTTGTTTAAATGTTTTTCTTTTTACCTCCTTCCCTGTGTTTCAGATTTTTATTTGAGCTCACCAGGTGGAGCTCTGTTTTTATATTTAAGAGCTTCTGTAAAAACTACAGACAGACTTCACCTCACCCAGGAAGCAGGAAACTGTTTTAGTTTGGATCTAAAGAGCAAAACCTCACTTGTAACGTGCACGAGTAAACATTTAGTGGTAAAAAGCTGTTCCACGTGCACGCAGGCTGCAGCATGAGACGTTCCACAGCTGATGGTTTATCCCAGAGCAGGACGTCATCAGTGGGTGCACCGTGCTCCTGCAGACCACTGGAATATCTGTCAGTAAGAACAGAAACTGATAAGAAACTAATGTTTCTGCCACAAGTGGAGTCAAAAGAGATCAGACAAACGCCTCCATGTGTGACAGCAGAGAGACAGGAGGAAGTCCGACTGAAAACAAGGCCTCATTTGGGCTGGAGGGTCTTCACAAAACTCTGGACTGGAATACAAATGTACAAAAAGTCCGTAAATTATTTTGGGCATTCTAATGTAGGAGAATGTCACTTTTTAAATGACAAATTACAATATTTCATAAAATAAATATTTTGTTGATTTAAAAAACAAAATGAAATGTTTTTTATAACAAAAGACCCTAAACTTTAGTCTTAAATTTGAACAGGCTCAGATGGCTCTGAAACACAGCACTTGTTTCCGTTGGAAGAAGTATTTTAAGCAGGACCTCCAGGAGCTGGTCCCAACAGTTCTTGACTGAACTTATTTTGCTGCAGTTTACCTGTGAAACCGACAGGAAATCATGTTGTTTTTACCTGTTCTCCTCCTCTGAAGGAATGGGGACCGAGCTGCCCTCACCCGTTCCTCGGCTCGTTCAAACTCCAGCACGACATGTCGTGGACTCCTGTGGAGGATGTGGAGAAGAGGGACGCACAGGTGGCCATCATGGACAAACTTCTCAAACAGCAGACGGCCCTTCCTGTGTGCACCGGACCCAACTTTAAAGGCCTCGCTGAATAAAGAACTGCCAACTACAACGATGATGATGAGGAAGACGGAGGACGTGTCGGCATGGTCTGAAAGGACCAGAAGGTTGAGTTTTCTCTTCCAAACATCAGACTCTTCAGATCCAGCTCTTTGGCACTTTACCTCCTTTTGGCACATTTTGGCCTCACAAATGATGAAGTCTGACTTTTCAGCTTTGTTTTAAACCCAAATGAACTTTGTCATTAGCGGATAACTGCACGTGTGAAATGGCATTTACAAAACAAAGTGCGACTTCGCATCATTTGAAAGAAAAACAACGTGCGTGTGTCACCACCTGCTGTTCAGGGTGTCCTTTATTTAAAGCCGTTGATTTTGTTTGTTTCCAAGAAATAAATGACAAGAATTCAAACCAAGCTACGGAGTTTAAAGATTGGTAAAGTTCATTTGTTTTTGTTTGTTACGGTCAGTTAGCTTCTCTTATGACTCCAACAGTTAATCTGGTAAATTAAAAAAAACGTTCAACACAAAATCAACTGGACTTTATTTGTAACAGAAGACATTTCTCTCCTCATCCGAGGAGCTTTCTCAATTCAAAGAGCAGAGAGTGAGAGATTCAGGTTATAAGGCTGAGTGAGATGAGACACACAGACATATGCAGATTGACAATTCACACCTCAACGCCTTAACAGTAGGTCTTTGTTCCTCTAATTCACAGATGAGGCCCCTCTGTTCCCATCAGGTGTGAAAACTGGCTGGGAATCTGTTTTAAAGTTACATTATAGGTTTTTGAAAGTGGAAATCTGAGGCCTCCTCTGTTAAAAAACATTTTTCTCTATTTACATAAATTGCTTCCTTCACCCCCCCCCTCTCAAACCATCTGTGTTCTCGGTCCAAATAAAGTCCAGTTGTTTTTGTACTGAACGTTTTTTGAATTTATGTCCTGGATGACTGAGAATCTTCACCAGCTTAATCACTGGTAGATACAGTAGACCCTGGTTTATCACGGGGGATCCATACCCTGAAGACCCGCGATCAGTGAAGAACTGTTAAGTAGGAATAGTACTACAAGTACTTAGTAGCATTTTAAACCCTTCACACACTCTTGCAATATTCTAAGCAATGTTTCTAAACTAAACTCTAGAAGAGCACAGCATGTCATGATCTCAGCTGCTCTTTACCACCTGCAAGCGCTCTTGGCCACGCCCACTTCTCCGCTCTGCACGGTGAACAGCTGATCAAATGTTCATCTGCAGGAGGAAACTTTCTGCAGCTCTGGGTTGCACAAATGTGCAGCAGGTGCTGCATAATTTAAAATAATCAATTGTAAATAAAAATCCCATGCTGATCGTTCAGCTCATCCATCAATCGGCTTTTAGTTTCACTAAAATCTGTCCAATTATACTGAAGATATTCTGCTGACACAGGTAAAACTACTGCCCTTTCCCCCTCAGGTGGGCAGTGAACACACCTTGACGCTTCCAGCTGGCCTCTCCTGCCCGTTTTATCTCTTATTGAGAAAGGAAAAGCAAAACTCTCGATTTCACATTTTTAATTTCAAATCAAAAGAATCTTAGTGCAGTGATGATTTTAAATGAACTGTTTAAGGCTTGGACAAGATTAATTTGTTAAAATAAACTTTTGGGTATAAAAGACGTCTGTGGGCTGCAGCCCGGTCAGCTCGTGATGGTCAGCAGGTAGGAGTTCACGTGTGGCAGAAGCTGCCAGTTATCAGTGGCGATGTCGAAGTGCACGGCGTCCTCCTCGGCTCTGATGCTCAGCAGCACGTGGTTCTGAGGAGGGAGATAAATCAGAACCTTGGACTCCTCTTGTCCGGACGGGCCTGGCAGGAGGAAGGGCAGGAGGTGTTTGTCCAGCAGCACGTTCAGAGCCGCCCCCCTCAGCTGGCAGCAGAACAGACTGACGGCTCCGTCTCCCGTCTCGGAGCAGATTTCGTCCCAGAGGTTCTGGAACACCTTCAGTCTGCTTCCTGGAGCCCAGGATGGGGGTGCCGGCAGAGGCATGAAGACCTGCTGGAACACCACATGAACATCGGGCAGATGGGTGTGCCAGGTCAACCCTTCTCTGGTGGTGAACATGGCGCTCACGTGGAGGCTGGTGGGGTAAGGCTGCCGGGGCTTCAGTCTGAGCTGGACTACAGGTGGCGGTCTCTCTCTGAAGAGACATGGGACACTTATGTCCTCCAGCTGCTCGTAGTGATGGTCGGTGAGGTCGAAGTGTAGGCGGATGCTAAAGATCTGGTCGAAACCAGGTTCAGAAGCCTCCGTGTGGGTCAGCTGGTACTTCAAGGTAACTTCTGAAGCAAAGTGAGGGTCGGCGAACTGAGCTCTGTAGGTTTCCAGTGCTTCGTTGAGCTCGTTCTGGTTTGAGTCGCAGCTTGTGGTTTCTTCCGGCTGTTCCGGAGCCTCAGTCAGACGGAGTATGGGCTTGTCTGTCCGGTGGACGGTTAGCGTGCTCGTCAGTCCCTCGCTCTCAGCCATGAGACAGGACAGTGTTCTCTTCTTGACCTGACGCTCGCCTTCAGTCGGGCCCTGTTCCAGCATCGCTGCCAGCTTCTCCTGAGACAGCGTGGTGAGGAGGGTGAAGTAGAGGCGGGCATGGTCCTGAATGTCCGTGTCTCCATAGTGACACGCGAGGTGCTGAAGGATGTCCGCCAGAGCGACAAGCATGGAGTCCACAGTGGGGTGAAGGAGCAAACGGCGGCAAACTCCTAGCAAGCCGTTTCCCAGACGCCAGTCACCACCGGTGCACAGAGAGGAGGTGATGATGCTGGTCAGGATGGTGAGGGTGCAGCGCTGGCTGATTTCTGCTTCCTCTGCCACCCGAGCGAGAACCTTCAGGTGCCAGCCAAGGTCCTGTAGGGTGAGCCGGGCCTCTGTGATCACCTTCTGGAGGCCCCTCAGTAGTCCTAAAGCCCAGCCAGACTCAGGAAGTCTCTCCTGAGTCCGGTCGGCCATGTTGATGATGTGAGGGGCCAGCTGGGGGTGCTGCAGGTAGAGCTGACACAGCTGGCGGCTCAGACCTGAACAGAACTGCTCCATGTGGCTGAAGTAAAGGAGGACGAGGAAGGCCGCTCTGAAAAAAGTCACCGCGATATCTCTGCTGCCTCCGCTCTCTACGACACGTAGCAGCGACCTCAGCTGACCATACAGGTAGGCCAGTCCCTCACCCCCCACGTCTCCTTCCTCCAGGTAGACCAAGGACAGCAGGCGGAGCCGAGCCAGCAGGGTGCCGCCATCGTTGAACACCGTGGGCAGAACGGCTGAAGCCAGCTGCGGGGTTAGCAGCACAGGGAGGGCCTCACCGTCGCCGCAGCTGATTGGACGGTTCTCTGGGAAGTGCAGGATGCAGTCCATGTAGAAGAGCTTCTCAGGTGTGCTGAGGACCGGGTGCTGGGACAGGACCACCAGCCGCTTCAGGAGGAAGGCCTCGTCTTCAGCGCTGAACAAGCTGTCGGTGAACGCACCCTTCATCAGCAGGGCCACATGAAACAGGCACACCTGACGAGACAAGTTCACAGGTCAACGACAGGTCAAAGGTCGCACGGCGCTGCTGCTAGCGACAGGTCAATGGTCGCATGGCTGCTAACGACGGGTCAAAGGTCGCACAGCTACTAACGACAGGTCAAAGGTTGCACGGCTGCTAACGACAGGTCAAAGGTCGCTGCTGCTAACAGGTCAAAGGTCACATACTGCTGTCAACAAGATAATGGAAAAGATGTCAAAGGTCATTTTTTTCAGCCTGAATTTAGAGAAACGTAGAATATTTTAAATATAAACTTTTAATTTTAAACTTGCTTGAAACAATTATTGAATAGCTTTATTTATTTTTTTTTTTTTCATTTTAAATCTTTGCACATACAGTATGCTGTTTAATATCACCTGTTGAAAGGTGAAAGTAGATAATAATGCCTCTTTTAGCAAAACGTCTCATGAACCACAGTGAACGGGTTTTAATGAAACTCTGGAAGTCAGCATCAGACGCCTAAAAACTGTTTTTAAATCAATTCAAGATTGATACTGATATGATTAGCTGTGGTGGCAATCATAATATTAACCAACAAAAATATCTAGAACTGAGTCAGTTTTAGAGTTTTTGAAGTAAAACTTGACGTGGCAGCTGAGCTGGAACACTGGGGAGACCCAAGAGCAAACATGAGGTCAAGCTCAACGTTTTCAAGCTTTTAACAAAATGTGTACAACTCCATCATTAGTCAACTTAACAGGATCTCAGCCTAAAGCTTTGCTGTGAAATGTAGCAGGCAATAAGGGTGAAGGTTCGTTACCGTCTTTTGCATCACGTGGTACATGACGTGGAACGAAACTGTGTACACAAGGTCCCAGTTACAAATAAAAATAGCAAAAATATAAAGTATAAAAAAAACTAGATAAGGATCTGATATATGCTAAACACTAATAATGTAATATAATCTGGTTTATTAAACAGCAGCCTGAACATGAGTCTGTAGTGAGCAGATGGTATGAACAGCTTAACAAGGAACGCTGGGACTTTAGTTTGATGCAGTTACAGTTCGTCAACAGGAAACAGCAGATTAGTCAGACAAAACAGGAAAGTCAAAGAACTGGATTCAGAACGTGGTGGTTCTGCTTGATGGCTGTAAAATAAAAAAAACTTTTTATTTTGCCTGTTTAATGTCATTTTTACAGCAAAGCTGTGTCTTTTCTTTATTTATCGTTTTTCCCCAGAATTTTGGAGACAAAAAATAAATATACCATAACCCTTAATCTTTTTTCATAGAAATGGCTCATTGAAACATAACTAGACAAAACTCGAAGCTGGAAAGTTGAAGCTGCAAAAGACGAGCGCCCCCTGGTGGCAGATTCCAGTAAAGGTTTAAGCCCCGCCCCCTCCATGTAAACAAAAGGGACTTTCTACCACTTTTATGCCAATAGTTGTTTTAATGACTGATGGAGTATTTCTGTGTTGGATAATGATGATTGGCTGTAGCAGCCATCTTAGTGGATTGACTTCAAAGGGTAATCAGTTATAGACTTTTATAGCTGTTTTTTTCTTTTTGGTTGCCATTTTATTTTAATTTGTTTAAAAAAAAATCTGTATGCCTCTTTATGATTGTCTGTTGTCCACTGTTGTCATCACTCTTTGTTAAGAAATCAGGTCTCTCTGGTAAATGAGTCCCCGAGGCTCAGTGGGATTAACCAGTCTAAATAAAGGTCAAATGAAATATGTAGATTCAAAGATTATTTTGTGAAAGTTTCATTAAAATCTGGTGGTTCATGAAACATTTTGCTAACAGACACACACAAAAGGCCAAATCGTTATTGTCCACTTTCACCTTTTTGAGACAACAAATGTCCCTGACTGTGTATGACACGAACCTCACTGGTTCCCAGCAGCCGCAGCAGCTGAGCTCTCAAAATGGCCGGCGAGACCCCCGGTACCATGGCGACCACCTCGGTGACTCTGTGCAGAAGTGCAGCCTGGCACAGGGGAGTGAGAAGGTAGGACTCCTCTAACAGAGAGGACAGGACCGATTTCAGCTCCTTACAGTCAGCTCCAGTGTGGAGCGTCGGCACCGAGCCCATCGGGCCCAGGACCAGGGAGGCCAGTCCAGGCCAGTCTTTGCCTTCCATCTGAAACGAGTCCTGGTCTGCTTCCCACACGGCCGAAGTGTTTCCTCCCAGGAGAGCTTTAAGATGCTCGGCCCCTGCTCCTGGTTCCTGACTGAGATGATAAACCGCATTTCTCAGAGCCACCGTTTGAAGGCCCGTGTAGACCTGGTGCAGCCTGGAGGTCTCCTGCTGCCGCAGCCCACCCAGGAGCTCCAGGCGCTGGGAGAGGAGGCCAGGGCAGCAGGCCTCCAGATCCCGAAGGCAGTCGCAAGCGGTGGCCCTCAGAGAGCGCTGTGGGCTGGTACTGCTGATGTCACCGGTGTCCTGAGCAACTTGAAGCACCAGGTCCAGGAAGTCCAGGGACACTTGGGAACGCTTGCTCACACAGGAGGAGCAGATCAGGACGCAGGTGAGGGTCACCAGGAGCTGGCAGCGGAACTGGGTGCATGTAGGGGGACACTGGGTGAACACGGACATCAGGTCCAGGGCCGTCTCTTCCCCGGCAGGGTCTGATGGACACAGCAGAGTCGGGTACTCACAGAGAGGAGACAACAGGACCACCTGGAGAGAGACAACGTCCTTCACTTTAGTCTAGAATTAACCAAGTGTCACTGATCGAGCTTTACTGATTCTGGTCTTTTAGCCTGGTCCATATTTGGACAGAGGATTGTAGACAGAACCAGGTCCAATGTGGTCCAGATGTCAAATATCTGTGTGGTCCTTCTGCTCTGGATGCTACTTTTCAGCCTTGAGCTAATCTAACAAAATGAATAATCCGTTTCTAACCATGATGAGAGGCTGATGTGAGCAGATTAAATCTGACAATCTGAGACCAGATGACAACAGACCGGCAGTTAGCCGCCTCACAGCTGGGATGAAGCTCATTTTTATTCACGTTTGAGAAGTCACTACATCAAAATGTTCTACACACATACTGAAACCAGCCAAGGTCTGTGCCTTCATAAGTGGACAGCAGCTTACCTTGATGCTGGAGCTGGCTCGGTCATCTCGGAGCTCCCTCAGCAGCTCCGACAGGAACACTTCCGGGTTTGTTCCCGACAGGAAGCTGGACGGACCGCTGCAAAAAGAACCGACCCTCTCCGGCCACTTGGACGCCATCATTACTGAGAAACCCAACTTTTATGACGGTCAGGTGTTCATCTCTTCACGCGCTGATCTTGTTGTCTTGCCTGCAGCCGAACACGACAAGTTCCGTGTTGGGTCACGTGACCAGTGTGTACCGCCCCCTGCTGTCTCGGAGGTTCATGACCGCGGAAAATGATAGATAGATAGATAGATAGATAGATAGATAGATAGATAGATAGAT